CCACGTGTTTGAATCTTTTTCAGGATTTAGCAGGGTGCTGTTGCTCCAAGATTTTGAGATCTTCTTATTTGTGGCACGGGCCTCTGTTATGTTGGCGGCAATGCCTTGTTTAAAGGGTTTACACCTTCTTCTTCTACTTTATAATGATGAAGCCAAGGGCAATTTATTAGTTACGTTCATGTTAATATTACTTGCATAACGAATGAGAATTTTGTAAATACGTCTACGGATGAATGTATAGAGTTTATTTCCGCAGTATCTCTGAAATGCAATTAAGTTAAAGATTTGTATGATTCGAGTATAAAAGTGGGCGTGAACCTCTAGCCTTTACTATCCCCCCACGCTCATTCGAATTTCTACTTTTCGACACTCTCTCGCGACCAGCCATGTGCTAGCCATCACTTCCTCCATCATCACCAGCGCACAACGCACTTCTCCGGTCATCTACCACCGGCTGCTGCTTCACGCCATTTGCCACCGCTATCATCGCCGTGCCTATGGAGGATCCGACTACTGTTGCTGTATTGATCTAAGAGAGGAGAGAGATCACAATGTATTCTGGAAGAGACGAAGAGAGGAGAGTAGCGGCAAATGTATTCATGGGCACACCCTGTTGCTCATCACGCTGCCACCGGCGTTCATCGTTCTTTGCCATGGATGGATCAATACCCTGCGTGGCTTATCTAAATCTAAGAGAGATGGAAACGAGAGAGACCAACGTTTCTGGAGGATTGAGAGAGATGAAAGAAAGAGAGAGAGAGTTGGGCCGCATGATGTGTATAGGTTTTGTTTTTTTTTTGGTGTTTGTTTGTAGCAAATGATCAGGAGATGGTGTTTGTATTTGCCAATATTTAAAACAATTGCGTAGTACCGAACAAAAGAGAAGTGAGACAGAGAGTAGATAAGACAATGAGGACAATGAGACCTGGAGAGACCGACGGTTGGTTATTTGATTCTTAGATAAAGACCAACGTTCTCGGGAGAGAGAAAAATGAAGACAGGGATAGTAGGCGATAGATAGAGAGACTTAAGTGGTGGAAGATGGAGGGGAGAGGAGATGGTTCAGTTTTTTCTTTTTTTTTTTTTGTGTGTGGTTGTTTTGTTTTTACGGCAGTATGTCCAGCGAAGGAGACCAGGTTAGTCTCTCTTTGGCAGTGAAAAAGCTATAAAAAAAAAACAAAGTGACCTTGGAACATTGATCTGGATGAGAGAGAATGTGGAACATGATGTTGTGAATATCTAGTTGTTTTTTTATGTTGTGTATATGTTTTCTTGGACAGTCTTTATGAGTGTAAAAAGAGTATTATTATTTATCGTGGGTAAGAGAGCAATGCAAGCCAGCAAGTAGAACGGAGATTTTCCACAAGTGGACAAAAAAAAAAAAACAAAAAAAGGAAGTCATTTCAAATGTAAATAAATATTATCTGACAGTATTCTTTATATATATTGTTTTTATTTTTTTCTGAGTATTATCACTTCATTTTATTTTTTGATTGGTGAATAATATTAGACTTTTCTTCTTTTTTTTTTTTTGTTTACAAAAATTAATAAATTGTGCTTTGTTTATTCTAATTTGAATCAAGGCTAGGAGAGTATATATAATAAAAATTATTTAAAGTTCTTATAGAAATAATATTTTATTTAGTGTTTTTATTAAAAAAAATACACACTTCACTTCTTTTCAATACGATACTATAGAAAATTAAGATGATATTTTAATTCATATCTATTTACCATACTGTAACCTTTTTTTTGTGGTTTTGTTTCGAAGAGAAAGTTCTTGCAAAATCCCTCCTATCACCGCAAACTTGAACACAATGGTCGAAATTTGAGAGAGACAGAAGTGCATGGAAGGGAAATTTGCCATAGAAAACAAATAAAGGAAAAGAAGAGAAGATAGATGACAGATAAGGAAACAGGTAAGAGGCCAAACTCTACGTGGATTTGTTCTTGCTTCTTGCTCACAATCTATGCTAAGATGTTGTGGGGTGGTATTGGTTAAAATTAAAAATCAGTTATTTAATTTATTATTGAGTTATTTTTTTTATCAATGTTTTTCAAAAGAAACAAATGTTAAAAAATATTAATCAATTTTTCTCAAAATTACTCAAAGGATATATTGTAATATACTCTAAATTATAATATTTAAAATATTATATGTTCTTACAAATATATATTTTTTGGGTGTTTAACTCTCTCATAATAACAATTAAATAAACTCTCTCATAAGAACCAATATTAAGGTAAATTAAGATAGAATTAATCAATGAGTTAAAAAGGAATGAATTTATAATATTCAATTGAGTTTAAAGAATGAATCTTAATAATTAATCCAATTGAATTTTTATAAACAATGAATTAAGGATGGAATATAATTAATAATTGAGATAACATACATATATTTTAGAAGATTTAAGATAATCATCTCACTTACATAATTATAAATGAGTGAACAGAAGTAAATTTTAGATAGAATCCTCACTACATATGGAACGAGCAATGCTCAGACCGACATTAGAGGCTCGAAGTTTGGCTTCGAAATAGGGGAAAGAAGAGAGGAGAGATGAGGGAGAAGAAGGAGAAGAGAACTCGACTAGGGGCCAACAAAAAATCGGGCGGAGGTGGAGGTGTGAGGTGGAGCGGGGAGGCGAAGTGGCGGCGCGGAGGTAGAGGTGGAGGCGCGCTGCCAATCGTACGAGCGATGAGAGACGAGCGCGGGGATCGGCCACGAGCTGGACGTCACGAGCTGCGACGCGACGACCTGCTCGGTCTGCTCTGTTTTTCTCTCTCGCCTCTGTTCACCCTCAACGAAGAAGAAGAAAAGACAAGGCAGAAAAGAAAAAAAAAAATCAAAACCCAAAAACGAACGTCGTTTTGAGGTTTTGAGCCAAATTCGAGGCCCTAATTTCGCTTTTTTTTTTTTTTTTTTTTTTATGGGTTTTCTTTTTTAGCGCCATCAAACAGTTATTCAATTATAAATGATGAAGAAATCTAAATTAAATTAAAAAATTGAAAAAATAAATTCTGCCCTCCTTTTCTTGGGATAGCAAAGTGTGTTTTGAGGAGTGAGAGAGAGTTTTGAAATTTAAAATTTGAAAAAGTGAGGTGGGTGGAGAAAGGACGGTGGGTGGGCTGGTGGGGTGCAGAGTTTTAGGTTTATTTATTTATTTATTTTTAATTTTATGTGTGCGTGGCTCTTAGGTGCAAAATGTGTTTTTGTTGATTGCCATCTCTCTCTCTTGCGGGCAAAATGTATTATTAAAGATTGGTTTAGCATAAATTATAAAAGTTAAAAAATTATTAAAAAAGTCACAAAATTTATACTAATTGGAAGAAGTTTGTTGGAAAAGCCTAGACGACAAAATTATTATTTTACTTTTTGAATTCAACAATTCAAAAATCAAGTCAAAAAGTCAAAATGGCAAAATGGTCATTTTTCTTTTATTACAATATTTTATTACACATCTTTTCGTAAAAAATCAAAAAATTATTCCAAACATACATATTTTTTTCTCTACTTTTTTACAGAAAAAGTCAAAAAGTGTACTTATATAGCACACCTTAAACAACCACTTATACAATTTTATTTTAAAATTGTAAATATTATTTTTAAAATTTTAAGTGTAAATTTTATAGCATTACTCTAAATTTTATAATTCTTAAGTGTATTTAGATTGAATAGATCTACAAAATAAAAAATGCTTATTAAAATATTTAAAAAGTTTACTAAAAAATAATAAAATACAAATTTAAAATTTAAAAAATTCTTTTCGAAAACTCTAAAACTAAATAAGTTCTGAATTTCAAATTTATAAAAATTATTTTTAAAATATACAACCAAATTCTAATTATAAAACTCATTTGACCTCAATTTTATTAAAGACTCCATAAATTTTAACATTATACATATAAATTACAATTATATTTTAATTCCAACAATATTTATACCGTGTCTTTAGGCACGGGCATATACTAGTATATACATATTAGAGCTCTAATTGATATTTTGGAGATAATTTTTTGAAAAATAAAAGTTTTAAAATAAGTTTTAGTGCCACTTGAGTAACTTTCATGCAATTATAGACGACATCTAATTGCAGGGGTTAAATTAATATAAAATCAAATAATTTAATTATAAAATTAACATTATTAGAAAATATGTGTCAAATTAATTTTTGAGTGATAGTTTAGGGTACAACAAAATTTCCTCTTATCTAAACGATACAATTTCAGTGGATAATAAAAGAAGTGCCCTTTTTTTCTTTTTCTTTTTTAAAGTTGCTTCAAAGTCAAAAGAAAACCAATTTGTTTTCAAATCGTGATTTCGAAATTTATCAACATGAAAAGATTTATGTCATGGTGCAGCTCAAAGTGAGGTTATGATTGAAACAAAATAACAAAAATTTAAGAGTCTTTTTAGAAACTTTTTGAACATGTTATTTTGATAATTTTATAACTTTTTATGAACAGATATGCTGAAAAATAAAGAGAGTGATGTGATAATTTATACTAATTTTTTGACTTTTTGGCTAAAATATACAGTTCCCAAACAAAGCATTCAAAGATATATTTGCAATTTTTTTTGTTCTTAAAACTCATCAATTTTACTATATAAAAAATTGATTGCAAATTCATATAAATTCAGATTAATGTCGCTGCCTTTGCCATTAGAGATAAACCCAAGTTTTAATTAAGTGAATCTAGCAACATAACACAAAAAATTAAGCCTAAGGTAAATTTAATAGGAGAAGGTTGAATGTGAAAGATTAAGTACTAAAAAGACGATGTAGAGTGTTCAACTTATTTCCTAACCCATCTCTTGTATTTAGTGAATTTTTTTGTAAACTTTTTACCTTTTAGATACACTTAATATAAATATAATTACACAGCATAATATTTATGAAAAAAATCTTTAAAAATTCACTTTTGAGCATGTTGTGCTAAAAAATCTAGCTTAATCAACACATGGCAAATGCTATATGAAACACAGTGGACTAATTTAATTTTCTGAAAAATATATATGTCCATTAACCTTCTATTTACATTGAATAAATGAATGGAGTTAATTAACAATCTATGGACAAAAACTACAAGCAACTAGAGTTAGTGGTTACATATGTTACAAAAAGATTTGCCAAAATTAGAAAAGTTTGCTTGCAAACTCTTCCATGGCCTCCCCTTTCACTGAAGAAGAAGCTGCAAGATCCTTCAGCTCTGATAAGCTTCTACCCAACTGCAAAGCCACCTTCATTTCAAACAATTCCCCATTCTCTCTTCTCTCCACTTCTCTATCCTTCAAATTTGATTCTATAGACTCTTCCATGAGCTTAAAGAAACCAGCATTGCTTCTATACATCTCAAACACCATCCCAATTTGCCCACCATGCTCTAATGTGTTGACGATGCTCGACAAAGCACCGCCAACAACTCCAAGCACCACAGCCCATGATCCATGGCTAGGAGACCCCACAAATGCAGAACCAATAGCTGCAAGACCTGCTAGTAAAGGTCCTGAAATGGCCAAGATTTTGTTGAGTTTCAATGCCTTTTCACCCAACCTCAAATAGTCTTCCTTGTCTTTCCTGTTCAAAACCCCAACTATCTCTATCATTTCATCTTCCAACTTAGCATCCCAACCATTCTTATCATTTCTCTCTCCAAGTCCCTTCGCTTCATAGTTCTAAATATCGGCCGATACGCTACGTATCGGCCGATACGTATCGGAAAAATGGGGTGCCGCGACGGATACAGGCCGATATACCACTGAGATTAAAAATCGCAGGAGTATCGGCCGAGTCCCGGTATGTATCGGCCTGTAAGCGTTACACAAGCCGTTACACAAGCCACTACACAAGCCGCGACGGGCCGATACTCACCGGTTCGGACCGGTACGAGAAAGAAAAAGTTAAAAAACCTTTAAAATGATTTTTAAAATTTCACCACCGCGACACCCGATTCCCGATACGTACCGATCGATACTACCGATACCGATACTCCGCGATTGATACCGTTACGTTACTCGATACCGCGATTTAGAACCTTGCTTCGCTTGTCTTCGTTGTTGTTGAGGCCACCACGTGGCAGGGTCCACTTTTTTTGGGAATTTGTCGAGCATCACGCCTAGTAAAGGAAGCGGGTAGGCCTTGTCAAGTGCCAAAACTTTTTTCATCGCATCCTTAACTTGTTTATTGGATGGATTTCCAATACATATTGTTGTGTGAATTTCTTCACGAATTTGCTTAAATAACCTTGCAGCGTTTCGTTGCTCTTCAGCGAGTTGAGATGGTTGAAGTTTATTCATGATCAACAACATCCCAGTAGCTGCCAAATAGAGCAAAGTGGAAGAGAGCTTTAGCGCCGCAAGAGGGCCACTGCCACTTGCACTTGTAGTAGCTGCAATACCAGCCATTGTTGAAGCTGTGAGAGTGATTGCATTAATGGATGTTAAGAGTAGGCTATTCCAGTTGCTTCTCTGCTCTCCAACATTCTTATGCATCTCCACTCTATCATCAACAGCCTCCATGATCGCGTACAGCTTCGCTATCGCCACGCGATCTGAAACCTTAGAATCATATTTGGGAGAAGTCTTGGGACTATTGCTAGGAGATTTGGGAAGTTTTTGAATATGGTTAGTGGTTGTGTTTGTGTAACTACTATTTGTCAATTTCAATTGCTCCACCAAATCTCTAGTTGTGAGGTTGGGAAGAGAGAAAGTACTATTCTGAATCTTTGGCATGTTGATAGTAGCTCTGATGATTTCTCTTCGGCAACACGAAGATGAGGAAATTGATGATGAACTCATCGAACTTGAAGCTCGAAAAGTGGCCATGTTTAGTCTTTAGAAGATTGGATCTGTAGGCAAATCTGTCAACTATTGAATGGTAAAAAGGAGTTGGGTTGGGAGTATGAATATCTCTTGTTGCTTATTTGGGTATTGATGAGTTTATAGGATTTGAAGAGTGTAGAGAGTGAATTGAAATGGAGAAGTGTTACATGGTGTATATATATAGAGGTTGGAGTTCAACACTATTTGAACGGGTACAAAGTTTAGACCATTTCCTAGTCTTGGGATTTACTGAGCTTACCATTTGAGAAACCGTTTGTTTGACTTTTAACGAGTAAAACTTTGAAATGGCCAAACGACCAAAAGCTGAGATCCCCTTTGGCTTTCCCAAACAGAACTTAGCGTTAACGACAACCGGATCCTATGCAATATTATCAACTTTAATATAGTTTCGTACTATATTAATCAAAAAGCGACCACATGACTATGCAAATTTTGTATTTTTGTACATTTTAGTTTTGTTATTTAAGATATATAATAATAATTTTAGAAACTAAATTTTTTAGTTTAAAAGTGAAAATTTTGTTGCAAAATATATTTAGAGACAAATTTGTATCATCATGGAGATAGTTGTTAAAAGATTATCCCGAAAAGTCAAAAGTAATACTTTTACCAATAAAATTTTAAAAATGTCATTAATAAATAGATTTTTAGAGATAAAATAATTTAGTCTCTAATTTGTTTCTTTTTTGAGACAAAAAATTTGGTCCTAAAAGGATAATAATTAATCATCAATCACTGCTGGAAAGTCCACTTTTAGCGGCGTTTAAAAAACGCCGCTAAAAGTACTAAAAACGTCGCTAATTATTTTTGTGGCGTTTAGTACCAAACGCCGACGACGCGGCCATCGCTATAACTTTATGGCGTTTAAAAAACGTCGTTATATTAATATAGGCGGCGTTTTTAAAAAATTCCAGCAGGGGTAACAGAATCCTTGGGATTAAAAGGGTCAAGAAAACCTTCCATTGATGCTCGTAAGCTGCAACAGAAGTAAATCGAATTAGCACATGGAGAGCATTCTGACAATTATGTAAAAACTGAAAACAAATTAATTAAACATATACTTTGGAAAATACCAAAGGAGCTATATTTGACCATCACCAGCAAAACATCTATAATTGGTTCATACCTTACTTTTAATGCCTTTGGTATGCTGTGGAAAGGTGCATGATTTTATAGATAACCATAAAAGTAGATTAGAATTAGTAATCACCAAAAACTAGCAGAACAACTTATGCTTTCTTAATTCCATTTGTTTTGACTATTAGTTAAGATAGGATACATAATCCAACGGATTCGTAATCCTAGGACTATTAGTCATGGGAATGCTAATCCAGTCCGCCCAAACCAACATGGCCTTAATGCCTTTGGTATGCTGTGGAAAGGTGCATGATTTTATAGATATCCATAAAAGTATATTAGAATTAGTAATCACCAAAAACTAGCAGAACAGCTTATGCTTTCTTAATTCCATTTGTTTATAAACGAGTGATATAGGATTTCGGCAGCTAATATGCAACTCAAAACTCCAGAAGAAAGCTCAAATCTCTACCATTTGGTGTTTAATTCTAGTTAATAGTTCATATCTGTCTAGAGCCACATCTTCCAATCATTGTCTGGAAGCATGTAGACCCATGGGTGAATGAGAATATGCAAGACACCAAAAAAAATGTAGGCAGATAGATGACGCCCCGAAGAATGTATAACAGATTATAACTGACATGACAGTTTTCTAGCTTATACTAGCCTTCTATCAGGTCTACATTTTTGCTCCAGGCATTTTACACTCATGAACCCTAGTCACTACCAAAAATATTAACTTCATGGAGCTAATGAAAGCATTCAACTAGTTAATCACATTTGACATTGCTACCTGTCATAAAATCAGTTTGAAGCAGACACAATAAGCAAGAAAAGTCTATAACAAATAAATAATCTTTTCAGAACAAATATTAGTAAAAAATAGGAAATAAAGGACCAGACATTCGGATGGTTTTGATATACACCACGATAGAAATAGAAACCATAAGCCTTAAAAGGAAGCAATTCCTCTAAAAAATGCAACACACCAACAAACAAATTAATAAGAAAGAAGAGTGTGTGCACCTTGGCCACAAACATATCTCTGCACCATTAGGCGACAACATCATCTGTTTCAGGCAAATCTTTCATTAAATGCCGCTTGAGGTGCACATGCATCTGTACAACAGTGAATCCTTAACATTTATACACATAAATCGGGCATCTTAATATCATGAAAAATTTCTTTAACTAATGATTTATTCCATTATGCTAAAGCTATGCTGCTAATCACATAAATTCAGCTATCACCATGGTCTTTCAAACTTCAAAAAATGGAAAAAAAAAGAAAGATCAGGGTTATATGATACTACTTCAAATTGAATTCCCACAATGTTTGGGATGATTGCTACATATAGCTCTTTCTTTCTATGATACAACTTTTCACAGTTAAAATTGATCGAGCATTAAAGACCCATTAGTATGTCCAGTGAAATGTGTACATGTTGATATTAATTTTATTTGATATGTTGAAATAAATAGGAAAGTGCCAGAAGATGGGGATAACCCGTTCACTTGTACATGGTTCCTTTCAGTTTTCTTGATTGCTTACATATACATATCAAGAAGTGGACTTTCAGGTTTGAAAAAAGCATTGAGTTGAATGATCTTGATAAAGTTCAAAATTTTACCGAGCATCATGAAACAATTTCAAAATTAACTTAGAAACCACAACACAAACTGACAAGTTTCAAAACCAAATTCAAGTGCTACCACATGTGCAAACTTTTTTAATGCCACTTTTAAAAACTTGCTACCATATACTTACCACAGAAAACTTCCCCTTGAAGAGCCTAAGCATTGTAGGTGGAGGTGAACTTTTTGGAATAGCAACAGTCACTTCATAAATGGCTGGAACAAATGAACGTATCTCACTTACTGCTGAAAAAAAACCCTGAAAGCATATAAATAGATTCTTCACGTCAAACCCAATAACATGCAAAATATCAGACACAAAGACGGACATTGGAACATGTAGTAGCAAAACTAAGGAAAGTTTATAACAGCCTCATCTTGAGTATACATTTTATAATTTAATTTTATTGAAAATTTACTTCCAATATTTTATGTACTACAAATGGAAATCCAACCATAACATAGGAAAACCCTTTGCTCAGAAGCTAGGAAGCACGGATACAGATACGGGATAGGGATACGGATACGATACGAAACGGATACGGCGATACGGAAAAATTTGAAAAACTAGGATACGGGTACGGTAGGGATACGTTCGTAAAAATATTATTTTTACAATTTTTAGTAATGCAGTATGCATAAAAATAAAACCTATAACAAAAGACAATTTAATAAAGAAGAAAGATTCCTATAAAACTAAGAGTCTTCAAGATCAATAGCTTCAACTTGTTCCCCTTCATCAGTGAATATCACAGGACCTTAGCTAAAGCCAAAAAACCATTATTAAATAAAAATTTCAGCAAATATACTTTTTTAAGCCATCAATGATAACCTAGGAAGCACAGATGCGGATATGGCGATATGTCAAAATTTGAAAAAGTATGATACAGGTACGGCGGGAATACGCTCGTAAAAAAAATATATTTTTATAATTTTAACAATGTAATATGCGTGAAAATAAAACTTAAAGTAAATTAATAAATAAAGAGAGATTCCTATTAACCTAAAAGTCTTCAAACATTCATAAAACATCCAAAACTAAAAACAAAAGCAAATGCAAATTAAACATCATCCTTACATGCCAACACCAAAAAAAGAATGAGAGCAAAGACAAGAAACGTGAGAGAGTGAGAAAGCGAGAGAAAAGTGAGAGAGACAATAAAGATACATCAATTTGACAAATTCTATTACTTTAACTCTTACTATATTCCTCTTATCAAAGGACTAAACAAAATATTATAAATAATATGTAACTTCGAGTATCCGATACTTCAAAATTAAGTATCCGATACTTCAAAATTAATTAAGAAGTATCTGATACGTATCCGCGAGTATCCAAGGAGTATCGGTATCCGATAAGTATCCGATACGGATACGTCTCCCTTTTTGAAGTAGCCGTGCTTCATAGCTCAGAAGGTTTAAGCCTCCAAATTTAGCCACAAACCAAAATCAGAAGTGCACAATTTTGCACACAATCAACAGGTACGCATGTGGATATTTACAGAAGAAATTTTAGACACTTAGTGGGAAGGAAGTTGTTCACAAACTAGCCAGAAGAAAATGGATTCAAAGAGAAACCAGGAGATTACATCAGGGAAAAATGCAGCCTTCTACCTTATAAAGAGGTGAAATGAAAGTATTACCTTGGTACGAGGAATCAAAACATTTCTAGGAACAGGCAACCCTGCTGAAGCTGCATACTCCTGAGCTGCTTCAAGCTTTGCCTGTGTAAAGCGAGTTCTTGACTGTAGATTTAATCCCACGAGATTTGAATGAGATCAATTAAGGCCCCTTAAAAGTGAGCATCACAAACCTACAAACACATAGCATTTGTTCAGAAATGTATTAAGTACACCCATACCTTTAAAGTTCTTCATCCTTAGGCCAGCTTCTTTCAAGAAATAGATACTCAGAAAATCACATAGACCAACCTATGACCTGCATATGTTGGATATAGTTTTATCATTCCGAATATATCTTTGAAGGTATTGAGGTGTTCAAAAGACAAGGCAAATGATAATGAGTAATGGACATGACATGTAAACAGTAATAAATCATAAATAGAGGAGAGGAGACAATAGAGCAATGATCCAAACTTGTTATAATTTCATGTGTTTTAAATACAGATCACAATAAACCTTCACTGAATTCACCAAATTCACGAATTAACATGCATTGAACTTTCGAGACAGAAGGCCACTCCATCAAGAACTGAACTGGCACGATCTGAATTTAACTAATTAACTTAAAATGCTTCACCTCAACCACATTTAGAGAACATGTCAAGTTCAGATTCTTACCGGAAGGAATTTTGATGATTTCTTCATTACAGCTAATGCACTACACCAAATTCATGAATTAACATGCATTGAACTACTGTCGAGATAGAAGGCCACTCCATCAAGAACTGAACTGGCACAAT